AGTCGGTGTTCAACTAACACGTTTTAGTTTTGTACTAGTCTGGTTTGACCTGTAAAACAAAAATGACCAGCTACACAGGGTTGAAATATTTCCTAAATCTTAGCGAGATTTTCACCAAAGAAAAACATATAATTTTTTTAATTTAATTTTTATTGTTTTATATTTGAAACTTACTCCGTTTTTTGTCATTTTTATTGGTTAAATCTGAAACTTACTCCGTTTTTTGTCATTTTTATTGGTTAAATCTAAAACTTTCTCCGTTTTTTGTCATTTTTATTGGTTAAATCTAAAACTTACTCCTTTTTGTTTGTAATTTTTATTGCTTAAATTTGAAACATATCATTTTGGTGGAAATTTCAATTGTTTTATTTATTTCTCAGCAATAAAAAATACTGCCTAGTTATAAAAATATTACCCAGTTATGATTGATGATGATCGGTGCGGTAGTTTCCGAGACCCGACGTATACATCGAAAGCTCCATTGTAATAAGATTTAAGGTCATAGCAAGGGATAATGAAGATCAGAGCCTCCGTATAAAAAAAAAGGTTTGCTCATACTGAGGCGGAAATTGACATGGTAGGTTCAATATATTAGTTATACTCTTAGCATTATAAACTATATTCGTCTTTTTAAAATGTAATTTATTGAGTTTGGTATTGCTTAACATTTTCTTTTTATAGTAGTGCAAAGCTGTAAAATGAGCTGTCCGCGTTATTTCTGCTGCAGATATCGAACCCTGAATTATAATGTTAATATCTATTCTCCACCTTGCCGTGGAGCCACCAAGGAATAGATTATAATTACTATAACAACACGAGCATGTTGACAAAAGATGAAAACATCCCGAATATCATGGAGAAAATACTTACATGTATCTCTCCTCGTATATCACTGAATTTCATGTAGTCATAGAGAAAAGTGTTACGTGTATGTTTTCTCTTATATCATTCACTTTCTTGCAGTCATCATACACGTAACATATTTTCCATGACTATAATAAATTGAATGATTTAAGAGGAAACGTACACGTAACATTTTTTCCCCATGACTACAAGAAATTGAGTGATTTAAGAGGAAACGTACCATAGCACTTTTCTCCATGCCTACAATAAATTGAGTGATTTAAGAGGAAACGTACATGTAACGTTTTTCTCTATGACTGCAAGAAAGTGAATGATATAAGAGAAAACATACACGTAACACTTTTCTCTATGACTACATGAAATTCAGTGATATAAGAGGAGAGATACATGTAAGTATTTTCTCCATGACTGCAAGAAAGTGAGTGATTTAAGAGGAAACGTACATACACATAACACTTTTTCCATGACTGCAAGAAAGTGAATGATATAAGAGAAAACATACACGTAACACTTTTCTCTATGACTACATGAAATTCAGTGATATAAGAGGAGAGATACATGTAAGTATTTTCTCCTTACGTTTCCTCTTAAATCACTCAATTTCTAGTAGTCATGGAGAAAAATGTTACGTGTGCGTTTTCTCTTAAATCACCCAATCTATTGTAGTCATGGAAAAAGTGTTATGTGTATGTACGTTTCCTCTTGAATCACTCAATTTCTTGTAGTCATGGAGTAAAATGTTACGTGTACGTTTCCTCTTAAATCACTCAATTTCTTGTAGTCATGGAGAAAAATGTTACGTGTGCGTTGTCTCTTAAATCACCCAATCTATTGTAGTCATGGAAAAAGTGTTATGTGTATGTACGTTTCCTCTTAAATCACTCAATTTCTAGTAGTCATGGAGAAAAATGTTACGTGTACATTTTCTCTTAAATCACCCAATCTATTGTAGTCATAGAAAAAGTGTTATGTGTATGTACGTTTCCTCTTGAATCAC